AACACCGGAAAAAGGAGGAGTTGTTGTTGCTGATTTTATTGATGCTCTCAAAAAAGCGAATCTCACAAATCATCTCGGTAATGTTTTCACTAGCATGTCACTTTTTTATTTTATCAATCAGTTTGTTTATATCAGCAGGATTTACGGAATAGAACGATTTTCATCACGATTATTCGTCCTTTTTTTTTATGCGTTTTTACATATATGCAAATGCGAAAATGCATATTGCGACGAGCTCGGTGTGTGTGTGTGTGTGTGTGTGTATGTGTGTGCGTGTGTGCGTCTGCCCGGGTATTTCAACTCGGCAACCAAGCTAACTCGGGCGCCAAAATTTTACGGATGGGTTCCCTGGCCAAGTGACACCCCAGGACCGCAGTACCAATCCTCACCCATGTCTAGGTCCCGCCTGTGAGCGTGTAAAAAGTTTTGGCGGGAAAGTCGCTAACTCGGGAATAGAAAAGCTAGAAAACTGAAATTTTGAGGTTATGTTCCCCGTCCATACAGAACTCAAAGATTTCAAATTCAGCTTCGAGGTGTGCGCGTTTTCCGCATACGGCCCTATGAGGGTTCCTGACGGGAAAATCGCTAACCTGGGATCCAGAAAAGCTGGAAGGCTGAAATTTTAGGCGGCTGTTCCCAACCCATGTACAACTTGAATTTATCAAACTCAGCCTCCGGGCATGCGTGGTTGTCACGTACGGTTCCGTAAAAGTTTTTGGCGGGAATATGGGTAAGTCGGGAACTGAGAAAGCTGGGAGACTGACATTTTTGGGGAATTTTCCCTCTTCGAGTACAGCGTAGATAATTGACTTCCCGAAATTCGGGGACCAGTATGTCACACATTTCTAGCTACTGGGTTTCCGAGCGATCTCATTACAGCACGAAACACTGCAAAAACGCATGATCGCACGGGCTCCCCCGGTGTACGTCGCCAATGATTTTCGTTATAGACATTATTGCTTAAACTTTGATTTTTTTTTGCTATTTAAATGATCGGAAGGTTCGACTTTTCCTTTTCAGCACCAAAACTGGACTTGTAAATAGTTTTAGTCAATCATATTCACATTCAGCTTAGAGTAATTCTGTGTTTTGATGCTGCTGAGGGATTCATTTTAGACTGACCGAACATTGCTGATAATGTTATTGATGAATTTATTATTACTGTAATTAGTGTTTGCTTGCAGCAACCGAAATAGTGGAATTTAATCCGCGACTGGACGTGGATCGGCGTACAGAGAAAGTTATCGTTGAACTTCTAGATGCCATCTATTGCAATAAACTTGGCATTACTGCACGACGTTGAATAATATTTTAAAAAATAAATTGTTGTATGTTTTTCCTCAATGCATTTTACGCAAAAGTACAATGATTAACCTACAGTTTAGCGCCTCATGTAACTTAGTACATAACCCAGCTCCACCGGTGAAGTCCTTAATTTTCGCTGCAGGGGCGAGATCCAATTTGGCCGTAAAGGCATGTGCAGCAGTCTGATAGAGCTGGACCACTACTGCATCGAGTTACCTGTGAGGCTTCACCGAGTCTGTGCACGAATAATGAAGCATATAAAGGAGAAGCAGGAAGGAGCTATTGCCGCACTAGAAAATGTGTGAAAAAAAAAAAAAAACAGCTATGGGTAAGATTTACGGAGAGAATACTTATAAGAAAAGAAGGGAGGCCGAGGAGCTGAAGACATCCCTTTGGGGTCCTTTAACAGCCGACAAAAATTTGGTTGCTTTTTTAAGTGGGTTGAAGAAAATTATCGGCAAACTGGAAGTTTTGGGGAATTCAATTCACCGCAGAATTAAAGATGTTTGAAAGCAAATTTTCAAAATCTGTTGAGTCTGATATTCTGTGGACGGAAGCTTCAGCCTAGTATTCTAAATCAGAGAGATGAAAACGACGTGACATAGTTGCTTTACACCATATGACCTCACAGTTTCATAGTCAGATTGATACAAATTGGTACAGCCAACATAATCTCCGAAAAGAAATGAGGCTAATATTTCAAAATGTGGATACCTTACAGTTAATTAAGAGATCATTATAACAGTTCGTGTGTCATGGACCTGACCTAACTACCGTAAAAAGCATGATCACACTGGTCGTATGGTCTTTGTTTGATACTGGATTTTTGTTAAAAAATCTGAGTATCACGATCTGGTTCTGCACGTGCTTATTACCCCAAAATCACTTTTTAAGACTCAGGCTAGCTAAAACCTATAACTGCGGAACTGATGGAGCTGTCCAATATGTGATCACCACCTACCAAGGATAAAAACACTGGCTACTCTAAGTTGGAGTAGTCATTGACCATTAGACTGCTTCTGCATAT